GCATTTCATTTTTATTTTGTTCAGGGGAGTGCAGGAGGGTTAGGGACAGGAATTAAAGTTCTTTAAATAATCTCTGCCTATGGGGAAGTGGACGTTTTTAAATAGGACTTGAACCACTATGGACAAAATTTCCGGATTGTGGATGGATTTTAGGATTTGTGAACGGATTTCAGGATTGTGGGTGGGTGTTATGCTCCCTGCCTCAATGTTGTCTTAGGAAAAAGCAGGAAATTGAATGTAAGACCTTCTCCCACTATGGGATTAAACATCTTTGCACTACTGTCTGCTTTAAGGGTGGGAATGTTGATAGGAGTAAACCAAATTTAAATATCAAAGTAAAGGATAAAGACACAAGTTCAAGCACATTCACCTTTCAGGTTCTGCGGCATATTTGTTTTTCCTTTTAAAGTTTTTAGTTATCATTTATTATAGGAAGGTTTAAGATCTTATTGGAGTCTAGTCTTTAATTTGCTCTTAACACCCTCTTAACATCAATGATTTTAATATTGCACTTTTACATGATCGTGTCATAACCATCTAGGATCAACTGATTTACAATAAAATGTTTTGATTCTTCTCAGTTTATTGCCAAGTTCAAAGTGTTTATTTCAAAACGTTTCAGCACTTGTCTTGTTGCCATTCTTTGCAGTGGACAGTGCCGGGTTATTGTTCACTGCGTTGAGCATTCCTCAGCCTACCTGGTGATAGAATCAGAAAATAAAAGGTGCATTAGGACTTGTCCACTAAAGTCAATGTGTGTTAATTCTGTGGTGAACTGTTCATATGCGAGCGCTGCTGTTACTAAACTGCGTTTCTTTTTTTTTCCTGAATAAAATTTTAAATTTTCATGATAAGGAAGAAAATGCTAGGTGAACTAGACTGACGAGCCAAAGGCCAAATCAGCTTAGTTATTGTAGCAGAGTTCTTATGAACTTTCCTTCATATAATTTCTCTAAAGTGTAAGACTGCACTATATAATCTTTCCCGCTTGGGATCACCCACTGTGTCCTTCACGAAAATTGTATTCTTTTCCCATTTAATAGCTTATTTATTGACCAAAAAGATTGTTTGGTCAAAACTCCTGGGGTTTTTCTAAAAGCAGGCCCGCGGCCCACGGCCCGCGACGGTCCGACGGCCCGCGACGGTCCGACGGCCCGCGACGGTCCGACGGCCCGCGACGGTCCGACGGCCCGCGACGGTCCGACGGCCCGCGACGGTCCGACGGCCCGCGACGGTCCGACGGCCCGCGACGGCCCGACGGCCCGGAGGCCCGATGACCCAGTCCTGATTTTCCACAGTTTTGTTTGTCCAATGGTAAATCCACGCGCATGCACAGATCTACATCGGGTTTGTGCGTGCAAAATGAACGACGGTGAGTTTGAATTCGTTTACCAATTAATCTTTTGAATCCTTGTTTCTGTTTGCTGCATATTGTTCTGATAAAAACGTTTTCAATCTCTGTTCATTCGTCTCTTTACATCGTTTGAGAATGCATGCGCACTTCCTCTCTATCGGGTTCTGTAAACAGACGAATAAACAGAGAATGACAACGTTTTTCACTTAGCAACATGCAACGAAATAAAGGATCGAAAAGGATTGAAATGATTGTTAAAATGGTAAACGAAGTTAGACTCACCGTCGGGCCGCCGGGCCACCGTGCCGTCGCGGGCCGCGGGCCTACTTTTAGCAAAACCCAAGGAACAACTGGTAAACAACTTTACACGTATTAAAACTAACTGGACAACAGTTGACCACTGGAACATCATTTCCAAAATGAATGAAGCACTCTATTTAATACAAGTATTTTTCATTCATTTTTTTTCATTTTATTTATTTATTCCATTCTAAAATTACAAAGATAAATATAAAGTAAACAAGTAAGAGGAGAAATGGAAAAGGGCAAAAATATAGCA